GTTCTCCAACCTTACTATTCCTCACCTTTCTCACTGTACCTGGAGTCATATTTACAGCTCAACACTGCATACTCCAATATGCTATCTGTATTCAACTACATTTAATTACAACAGTAATACTGATTTTGCAGATTACTTCACAGTATTCCTCTTAGAAAATTACAGCTTTTAATTCCACAGTTATATAACTTTTGCCTCTATGTCTTCGTAATAACTCTGTCCTCCCTAGCTCTAGCAACAGTACTTCAATATCCTTGCTGTTAGTTCCTCTTACCTGGTCTCCAAGAATGTTGAACTACCCTGCACTTTTTTTTTTAATAAATATCTGATTATTTCTGCTGACTCTTATAATCTCTGACCCTATTTCTCAGCAGCCTGGAATATCTGTGTGAGGCAGGAGTAGAATTTTTCAACTTGAAAAGGAGAAAAGAAAGAGAAATCTGTATGACGAATTATATGAAGATCTAAACAGAAGGAAAAAAAAAGACTAAACACTATTTCCCATTACTTATTAAATAAAGTCACACAATACAGTTATTATGCAAATGATAGGCTCAAAAAACAACTTAAAATAAATTCTGCATACTACATGAATTTAACATTGAAAATTCATTGCTATAGAATATTTTGCTGTAATTTATTCAAAAAAGTATTAAAAAGAAATAAGAATGTATCAATCAGTGCCTAGGAGCTTCAATAGTCTGTATGCTGTATCTGGCTCAAAAATCCTAAATCACTGATTATGGTTGAACTTTTTGGTTTGCACAATCCTTCTCTACCTATCTGCTTAACAGTCATTGCTACGCTTATACACATGGATGTAAACTGTGATGATAACTTGAGAAGATGCTAAACTTTAATGTTAAATAATAATGTGTTTAGATATATGCTGGTTTTATCTGGTATAATTAAATATCTAGCCAACAAATAGATTGTCTTACCAGGATTATTCATGTGAACAAAGTTATTAGTCTGTGTAAATTATGCAGTCCTATGGTCCTCAGAGATATTCAAACTCTTCAGATGGAAAAACCTTCCATTACAGGCTGCACAATGTCTAGCATGTTGACAGCTCCATATAAGTTACTGCTTTCATATGCATTTAACAAAAAAAAAATTTATTTAAATAAAATCTATTCCATGCTCTTATTTAAACAATTCTGATTGTGCAGTCTGCCCTATGTACTCTACAGCAGGTATACATCCATTTCTGTGATGACTTATTAATAACATTTCTACTTCACAGGAAAGTCCCAATATTGATATAGTTCCACGTAACCCCCAAATTATGATGTGTGTAAATTATACCCAGTGGCTTGAAGGAGTGATCATCAGGATGACGTGGGGATAAATACTGTTATATATTACACAAAATTTCCTTCTCAATTGCAAATGTTAACAAGGTTCTGCTGCTCCTGGGAAGGAAATCAAAGTTGGTCAATTTCAAAGAAAACTGAAAGCAGATATTCAAAAGATCAGCATATTTTTATGGATGGTTAAATGCAATGTCAAATTAAATTTATATCTAACTGTTATTCAGTATTACTTTTTCTCTGGAAATAAATATTAAAGCATTCTGTCTGTGCCAAAAAAAAAAAATTGTATCAGCCAATCTATGGCTAAGAATGAGCAGTGAAGTAGCATGAAAAAAAAACCAAACATTGTCTTTTGTTTTCTTCCTAGGCAATAAGAAAGCTAAAACATAATGGAACTCATTATTCTACCTCACAGTATGTTCTGTTCATTTTTTAATGAAAACATCACTGAAAACTCCACTAATACTACAAGGCTGGCAAAAAATCCAAAGAGAAGCCAAAAACTTATGACAGGCAAGATCATTATACACAACAGCACCAGTCATGAATTGCAGCTCGGGAGGTTCAGACCGGATGTTAACAACTTCATCACTTCTATAACTGCCCAGAGAGACTACGCTATCCTTGCAGTTTTTGAACACCTGCACTAGACAAAGACATGGAAGACCAGATTCAGTGCTGGTGATAAACCTGCCTTACGAGGAAGATTGGAGTATGTGATCTTCAGAGGTCCCTTTCAACTAACATTTATACGATTTCCAAGATTACTTCTTGAAGTTAACTCTCGAAGAAAAAAAGAAATGGAAGCCAAACAACAACAAAACTGATTAACAGTCATATTGTCAGCATATCATAAATCCCTCAAAGTTTCTGAGTGGTAATAGCTTGAAAGTCACAGAGTTGTATAATATAACAAGCACTATCATATGCATATTCTTTCTCTGTTCTCTGGTAGGTGCTTACCCACAAGGACTTCTGGAACGTGAACAAAGGCAGTGATACCAAGCTGTGCTGGAGTTTGACTGGAGTTGACTGAAGCTAGCCCAGTGTCTCCACATGCTCTGGACGACACAATCATTTCACCTCAAGCACTGCAGTCTAGAACTAGTTTGGGCAAGTGAGTCTGAAAGATCTATATAGAATCACTATCTAAAAGCAAGTATAGAAATGCAATGGAAATTCATATTTTCTCGTCAGAGGTATTAAAAATTCACTTTATAGAGAAACACAACATTGCATTTCAACATCTAGCAAGAAGTGACAACTGTGTCCTTGTTCTTACTACTACGAAGTGAAAAGAAGCAACCAAATTAAGCATGTACATTACCAGCATAGTAATGTCTTGTCTTAAAATTCAATGCATCTTTTAAACTTTAAAGGATAAAGTATCCTTTAAAGAATGCATTACTGTTTATCAATCTGGCATACTTTTTTTTCTAATTCCCACACATGCTATCAACATTTCCAGAATAAACAAATAATGAAGAAGCAATGAAGGAGCTAATAATTACTACCAACATTGAAAGAATAAAAATATACTAATTCTTTCATGCATAACTGTTAAAATCTGTCAAGACTTCATGTCACTAGTGAAATTTGTGCAATCAAAAACTCAGCTCAATAGTACCGAGCCATGAAATTAAACCTCAGGGAATTCTTTTTGCAAGTGGCAATGAACAGCCTCACTGAAAGGATTCCTTTAGCCAGCTGCTTTAATGCAGTTAGCTAACTTCCCAGTTTCAAGACAGCCTCTGCCAACAAAAAGATATCACTTTCATGCCCGAGTCAGACAAACAAAATATGACATGAACAAAAGTTTTGTTTATTTTTCATCTTAGCTGTTTTTTGGATTTACTTTTCCCACTCTCAAGTAGCCAACAGAATTTGTTTTAGATAACAGATCTGCTTAAATTGTAGTAGTTTAGAAAAAGAAAAAACATTTAAAAATACACGGTGGCTACAGAAAAGAAAACACAACGATGGTACTAATAAGATGCATGCTATCTATTGTCCAAGAAACTTTTAATATGAAATAACATCTGTCTCTGTGTACTTTAAAAAATGTAGCAATTACATTAATAATGATGGAGTTTTGACTTGGCAGTTTTCAGGTAAAGCTGTTTATCTTTAACTCTCTCTTCCCAATAAAAGGACAACTTTAGAAATAATGAACAAATCAATATGCTTCCAAAACTTTTAACGACAACAATGTGATTGTGACACAACATTAATTAGGGTATGGTATACAACCTGGAGAATTGACAGAATCACAGATAGGTTGAGACTGCAAGGGACTTCTGGAGATCATCTACTCCAATCCCTCTTGCTCAAGCAACCTGCTAGAGCAGGTTGACCAGACCACATCCAGTTGGGTTTCGAAGAAAAAAAAAAAAGTCTATCTCCTCCTTTCTCATTTCCTCCCATCAGGTATCTATACACATTGATAAGATCCTTCGAGCCTTCTCTTTACCAGGTTAAATGGTTCCAGCTCTCTCAAGCCTTTCCTCACATGAGAGATTCTCTCATCCCTCATCATCTTTGTGGCCCTTTACTGGACTTGCTCAAGTAAGTCTGCATCTTTTCTGTACTGGGAGGCCCAGAACTGAACACCATATTCCAGTTCAATAGGGAATTAGCATTTACTCTGCAAAATATGATAATAACTTTGAAATTAAATTTGCAATGGCTATCTATGGAGCAAATAAGGTTTCACAGGTAGCAAAATTGTTGCTAGGGAAAGGAATGTAATGAAGAAAGATGTAACAATGGTGTTCTCTTTGGATAGTAGATGCCAAAGACAAATGTAGATGGGGAAGCCAGAGAAAGGGCAGGATCTCAGCCAATGTAACCTCTGGGAGAGAACAAGGGAGTAGCTATGATCATCAAACTCTAAGATCGGCCCATTACTTTGAATTGGGAAATGTTACTTTCTTCCTCTTGTTCACCTTAAAGGAAGGTATCTGTGATGGAACGACTACATTTTAATAGTGGCTAATAGTGACTACAGTTTTCACTCAATGAACAAAGCTGATTAGAAGCAGGATTTAAAGAAATGAGATAGCGTATGAGTTTCTCTTACAGATTGTTAAGATATATTCACACAAAAAAATTAACTTGCTCTGACTCAGTAAGATTGAAAGAGTGAAAGTAGGTCTTGAGAGTCTTCCTGTGAGATGATGTCAGAACAAATAGGACAAATGGGTTATTCATTTCAAGAAGTAGCAGCAAACTGTTTAGATTAGGTGTGGGAAAAAAACCTAAAATCAAAGACAAATCATCTTCATGCATGATCAGTAAATTTCAGTATGCTTTCCTTCTCAGTTAAAATAACTAAAATAATTTTAACATTGATTTTTTTTACTTTATTATAAAGATTGAAAAAGAGAAGAAAATTAGTTTCTGCTACTGAAAAGATATAACACTGAAAGGAAAACATGAAGATTAGTAACTGAGTAGAAGTGTAACAAAGGAGATAACAACATACATACTAGTGAAAAGCAATGCCAGCTTTACTTGGGCATGAATAGCAACAATACTGAGTAGTTATTTAAATATATAGTAAGTAAGCCAAAATACAATACCTGCTCAAAAGTTCAATGATATTTACTGACAGAGTAATTTTATTTAACAGCACACTGTGTCTCAGCTTGCTTTTTTTCTATTCACCACCAGTTTGAAGGATACTCAGCAGAAGAATAATATGTGATTCTGCAACAAATTGAGCCTGACTGCTTCCATGTATGTAACTCTGTAAAAACAAAAATGAAAAGAAACCCTCTTAAAAACAAAGAAATCCATTGAAAATACCACAATTGAATATATGACAATCAAAATAAAACCTGTTTTGCAGAAAAATACAGACAGCAAGAGCTACATGTTAGCAGCAGTTTATGTATAGATGTTTAGTAAAAAGGAGTGTTAAAAATAGTAAATTTAGGCAAAGCACACACACACATATATATACAGTGAATGTAACATTTCATACATGAATGCATTATGCTGGACTCTTTTTCACACTGTTGATAGTGTGGAGTAAAGAACATGCATTTATTTGCTCAGGAGACACAATTTTTGAGAAGAGAGGTGATGTAATCAAGGACATGCCTCAGCAAAGTTTTTACAAAAGTTAAAATTGAACCTTGCCTTTAAAAATCATTCTACTTTATTCTTATTCAGATTGAGTGAAGTCTATTCCATCTTTCTCCATGAAGGTACAATCGTGTCCATAAAAAAATCCTAATTCATAAAATATTTATATGAAATTGTAGGAAATGCAATCACAGATGTTAATACTGAATGCAAAGCTCACATAGTCTACTTCCCCCCACCCCCCAAATAATTGTTAATGGGCTGATTTTGTACATTTTTTAGAACATACAGCATATTACTTAAAATTTGCTAGTGTTTATTGTTAACTAGCTATGATAGCTCTTTCCCCTCTACTCTGCCCTGGTGAGACCGCATTTGGAATATTGTGTTCAGTTCTGGCCCCCTCAGTTCAAGAAGGACAGGGAGTTGCTTGAAAGAGTCCAGTGCAGGGCCACAAAATGATTGAGGGAGGGGAGCATCTCCGTTATGAGGAGCGGCTGAGGGAGCTGGGTCTCTTTAGCTTAGAGAAGAGGAGACTGAGGGGTGACCTCATTAACGTTTATAAATTTGTAAAGGGCGAGTGTCAGGAGGAAGGAGCCAGGCTCTTCTCTCTGATGTCCAATGACAGGACAAGGGGCAGTGAGAGTAAGCTGGAACACAGGAGGTTCCATGTGAATATGAGGAAAAACTTTTTTATTTACTGTGAGGGTGACAGAGCACTGGAACAGGCTGCCCAGAGAGGTTGTGGAGTCTCCTTCTCTGGAGACATTCAAAACCCGCCTGGACGTGTTCCTGTGTGACCTAGTCTAGGTGATCCTGCTCTGGCAGGGGGGTTGGACTGGACGATCTTTCGAAGTCTCTTCCAACTCCTAATATTCTGTGATTCTGTGAAAGGCCCTTTCATTAGAAAAGTGTAACAGGGTCTAGTAGCACTATGTAGTTATTAAATACCTATATGCATTTAAACATAATCACTACTACTTTCTCTACAAAAATGCTAAATTGTATAAAAATGCACATTGGGATCTAAAGAAATAACTATATGTTGAAGAGACATTATAACCGATTAATAAAATTGGTTATTACATGACTCCTAAGACTATAAATGCCTTCTGTACTTGCAGAATATTTAGATGAGAGACATAATTTTGATTGATATGCTTTGTACTTTTATAAAGTGAATTATTTTTCTCTTTATGGTAGCAATTTAATTCACCATAACACCATTGATGGAACAGAATCCGAAGTATGTATATAAAGACACAGACATAGGTACTACATAGAGAAATTGCTTATCTTGAAATAGTTCACCGACATTAAATTATTTAGCTTTCATTCCAATGGGGAGGATGAATTTCACTGCCCACCACAACAAAAGTGACTGCTTCTAATGACATAAATCTGTTTCACACTGGAAAGAATTCATATTTTAGGTGCTAGTCTTTATCATCCAACATATTAACTTTGTTTAACAATATCACTCAAGTTTGTGTGATCCCTGGTTTCACTTGGGAATAGCAAATAACTACAAATTTTTTTTAAAGAAAAAGGTCAGGTTTATAACTATCTAGCTGTCAAACCTGTACATTAATGATGTTTTTAAAAATTCAGAGTATGGCATATTTTCTGACAAGTGTCAAACATGATTTTTCACTAGTTACTCATACTTGTGAAATTGACTGAAAAATTATCTCTCGAACTGAGGATGATCAGAGTTTACAACAGGTAAACCCAGTCTGCAATGCTGCACATGTAGACAATGCAGAGATGAAACACCACAAAGAAAAGACTAAAAGATATAAAAACAAATTATATTGTTTCTAATATTCTGATTAAAAACCCCTTAAGTCTTGTGTACCTGAGAAGGCAAGTTTTTATACGTTACAGCAGTAGTATGGTGATTTGTTCTAATCTACTAACAGGGTTGGTATCACAGTGATAAAGAAGGATACTGACATTGGAAAGACATTCTCGATCAGAAATCTTCACCTGCCCATTCATTAAATTCTTAAAGTAATATTTTTATTGCATGATGTAAAATAAGTATATTTGTCTCAGGATATTTTTATTTGAGGCTTTTCCAGGAGCCTGGAAAACACATCAGCAGATCAGTCTCTCAAAAAAGTCCTTAAGAAGAAAAAATCATGAAAACAAAGATATTCTCATTATCGCTATTAAGTAGGTGACAGAGTCCTAGCTACCACCCAGTATTCAGTATAAAGAAAATAAAAAAGACCCAATACAGTTTATTAGCAAATGCTGAAACTGGAACCAAGCAAAATCAAACAAACCAAAACCTGAAACAAACAAAACCTGCCTAGAACACCTGAATCAGAGACTGTAATTTGAAAACTAGCTGATGAATACAAATTTCTGGCTAAATGTCTCATAGGGATTAATTTTGTAGCTATATTTCTTTAAATGTGAGTTGCTAAAGGCATAGCCTGGCTTGCAAGGAAGTGGATGTTCTTTGATTTAGTTCTGGAATCATTATGTGTATATTAAGAAGCTAGTAAGAGACAATTTTTACCTACTGCTCTGTCCCCAGAGAAAGGACAGGAAAGGATAAAAGCAAAGTAAGTAGCCATCTTAAACACAAAAACCAAGCTTCATCTTTATTTGAGAGGGTAAGACATCTCGGGTTAATTTAGAGAGAAAGTGTGCTACCTGAAAGCCAGTTTGTTAAAATGTTAAATAAGGCAGATGTTTACTGTTCAGTATTGACTTCTTAAAATAAATTAAAATGTAACAGCTAACTTCTTTGTTCTACTACAAATGTCCTTGGGCTGATTATTCTTTACAGTTGCCTAGTAATAAATCTAACTCTGTGATCGGGCTCCTCAAATTCCTTCCCAAGACACGGTTCTCCAAATACTTAAACCAGCAACATCTCTTCTATAGCTGAGGGCCAGTCAGAGCAATGGCATTGAAGAAGCAAAAGATTGTTCTAGTGATGAAGTATAACCAACATAATCTGCATTTGACAACAGAATGTGAGTCACCTGAATTTACGACAATACCTCACTCCATTTCTAATGAAGAATGGATTTTAACCACTTCAGGGTGTGGTTTATTCACAATGGACTTTCAGACTTTCTAAACAACAGACAAAAATCAGAGCAGAAGTTTTCAGAAGATGGAAGACCAGTACTTAATGTAAAAATTATGGCAAATAGCTTTTCTATAGTGAGAATAGTGAGGCATTCGTCCTTGTGTCTTTCTCTACAGGGGTATGACATCACCGCAAGGCCACTGGAAGCATAGGTTACAGACACATTTATGCAAGTGTATACCCACACACCAGTTTTGTACACTGCAATGGCCATTGCATCATCATCAATTTTTGAAATTCATGGCCATCTATGACTCATTCTTACCTAAAATACAATACAAATACAGTATTTTTTAAAGACATTTTGACAAACTAGCTTTTCAACAGTTCATAACCAGTTTTCTCCATACTTTGTTGTGGTTTCACAGCAGCTTTTAATTAAGTGAAGTTCTTGAATTTATATCCAGATAACCAAAATAAAGGATCCTGTCACATGCAAGGTTTTTTTTATTTTCAAACAACATCTTTCCTTCTATGACAAGATTGCTGGAAGACCTACATGTAAGGCACATATTCTCACAAAAATTTTATTTGAAGTTACAAACTATTAAGCGACTGAGAAGTAAGATTTCTGGTTTTGTTATCTTTTCTGCTTTTTGACACTGAATCTTTTTAATATCTGGAAGTTCTGTGAAGTTTATCTGGTGGCAAATGCTTTAAAAAATTCCTAAGTAAACTCAGTATTTGTCTTTCATTTTAGAGGGAAGACCATGTCAGATGCAAAGCTGAAGTCCATCAGAAGAGATGAAACCATGATTTGAGCAGAAGTGCCGCAGAGCCACCCAACTATCATAGCCACACAATGGATGCAACAGCAATGCCATGCTGGTAGGACTAATAGGGGAACCAATGCATGAGTGACTGACACTTTGAACAACAGGTCCTTTACTCACTTTAACATTCTCATATCTCAGGTCTGATTCCACAGAAGCAATTCGAATTGCTAACTGAAATAATCATGTCCTCAAATCAGGCCATTTTCTTCAGCAGTGACAAAGAATTGGTTAATGCATGCACATTTCTATAAAGCTGTGTTAAATATTTATCTACTATTCGTAAACTCATTAAATAATTAGTGTTATTGAACTTCGATGGCACATATATATAATCCCTCACTAGTACAATCAAAGATAACAACAACCTAATATACTTTTTCCCTAAATATAGCATATTTAAATTTCCCTAAATATAGCATATGCTTGCAATTTTCCTTCAAGAGAGATAGTTGTCATGGTTCAGTAAAATACCTGAGGTAAGTGTAATCTGTGCTTTTCCCTTCCTTTCTGATAATCCAATGTAAATAAACCAGAAACAAAGTAAGTGGAAATAAATACAGCCTTGTGAGTTTTACGTTAATTCTTAAGGCAATACAAATAACTTGTGGAGTACCCAACATAAAAACTGAAACATAATTTTAGGCGCTCCAGTTATCTTTCCTAAAAGAAATGTTATGATGTTTATTTTCTATGCATATGTACATGAAGGATGCTAGGGTGCAGATAGCTGATTAAAATGATTTGAGTTTAGTAACAGCATAACATAAAAAT